GACAATTCCAGTCATATAGAGGTCTTTTGCTTCCTTTACTGTTCTGAAACCTAAAGGTCCAGTATGACAGAATCCATAGTTCCATTAAAGTAGCAAGTTTGAAGTTTGGTCTGTTGTTACCCTTGCTGAGTCCCTGATGTTTTTTTGTCTTCATTAAATGCCACCTGCACTTATTTTAGTGTAGATTTATTGCTCTGATATTTGCTCTACAAAATAACAAAGCCATCATCATTTTAAATACTTGTGTGTGTCACTGGAGCGAAGACATGTTTTTCTCTTGGCCAGAAAATCAGTGATCTAGGGATCCTATTAATTCCAGGATTTTTGCTCATTGTAAGCAGTTTGTTTAAAAGTGCCGAGCTAGGCAAATGCGGGCGGATACCCTTTGTTAGCCAAACAGGCAGACAAAGTGCAGGCTACCTCCTAGTTCATGTCGGTGCCTCTCTCTTGGTGCCAATAAAAGAAAGACGGCCAAGCTATTTCTGTTTCTGCTGGAAGCTCAGGGGAGTTCACAAGGTATCCTGTCGGCCATTACACTTCATAACAAGAGATGCTGTCTTCAACTGAAAAAAAAATCTCTGGGCCCAGGACAACTGGTACACATGTCTGTGAGGCTGCAGAGCTGCAGTTTTTCATCCAGTCTCTCCGAACCATATAAGTTATTGCCTTCGTTGTTAGTTTGTTAAATGGCTGATTTTTTCTTTGTTTGTTAAGGCGGCATAGTTACCAGTAAAATGGTCCCATATGAATCTCAGGAAATATATAATTTTTGGTGAAGCCTTTTGAATGTTCATTATCGAACTCGGGTATTGAATACAAAGTATTAACTGCCTCTTCTCAGGCTTCAACTTTCTTGATTGACCTGAGGTGTTATTACTTGAGGACTTTTTTTCCATTAATCCACTTGAAATGTTTGAGAATTTGCAATACTGTAATACTAACACAACCATTCAAAACAGACCAATGAACAAGCTGACTTTCTAACAAAGTTTTTCTTTTCCTGTCAGCAATTCATGGTACAGCAATAATTTTCTCATCCAATAAAATATGTCTGTACTTTGTTTCATTTATAGTAAGAATCCCCAGTGCTCCTCGTTTCCCAGAGACTGTGTTCTGCTGATTTGTGTTAAGTCTTCCTGAGTCTTGACAATGTCCCTGGCCTTATCAGATAAGATAAGATCACTTTATTGGCCATATACAATTTCTTGCATTAGGAATTGTCCTTTCACATAGCCCAGCTTGCTCTCCTTGAGACACACAGACAGGGAGAGAAGCTTGGGGTCAGAGTGCAGGGTCAGACATTGTACAGCACCCCTGGAGCAGTTGGGGTTAAGGGCCTTGCTCAGGGGCCCAACAGAATAGGATTCCTCTGCCAGACACAGGATTTGAACCTGGCAAACTTCCAACCACAGGCGCAGATCCTTAACCACAGAGCCACCGCTCTGCCCAATGAACCTTCCCCCACCGTGTCGGGCTCAGGCTGCATGCACCCTTCTTGTAGCATTACAGCACCATTTGAACCTCATCATTTTCAGCCTTTTTGGAGGGAAAACGATGTCTGTTTTCCAGGGCTGACGAGGCAGAAAATCGACTCCTGCCAGAAAGGCTGAGAGGCTGGCAGGGGCTCAGAGTTTTGGAATCTTTTCTTCAAATAAACAGTTATCCTCTTCATGTTCTGGGATTTCAACCCCAGTCCTGCACTAATTTACTCCTTTTGTCACAATATCATGAAAAGTACATTAAACCTCAGAGGATTTGTAAAGATTTCACATAATTGAAACTCTGCTCTGAAAATGATGAGCAGCAGATTTTGCCGACAGAGACTTGTATTTGGGTATAAAAAGACATAAAACAGTGACCGCGCGGCTAGGCATCTTGCTTTCACAGGTCTGTGCCCCGTGCCGTTTGATGATATCATCTCATTTTGATGATAACAATGTGAGTGTGCAGCAGGTGGTAGTTTCGAAGCACCTGAGAATTAACACAATTTAAATTGATCTTAGTCCAGTGAGTGCAATGTAATTTCGGGTAACTAGAAGTAATGAACAAGGTAAAGTTTATCATTAGGTTGTGCAAATGCATTTGAAGCGCCAAGATTTTCATAGCAGAACTGTGTTCATCTCTCTCATTCCCTATCTATATATATCTTCCCTAATGACTTGTAATTCTTTGAACTCTGATTCTGATTTAACTGTGAAATTACATCCTTCTTCTCAGCAGTGCCAAGGGAGTTAGATTCTCAATACTTTTTTTTTTATTTCATGTTATTTTATTTTTTAATTCAAAACTGTATTATTTTTTAATTTTTTTATCCAGGCAGTATCTTGTTCCCAATGGATTTTAATTAGTAATTAGATATCAGATACTGTATAGAAAATCTTTCTCCTAATAACGAACTACATACTGTACTTAATGTCTGTTTCGAGACCTGATTGGCAAGCTTTTTGCCTGCTGATTTTCAATAGACAAACACAGCTGGAGGTGCCTGATCTCTTGCAGTTCTCAAGCTTGCCCGATTCATGCGGCAGTATTGCTAAGCCTTTAATTACTTAGTTTGTTAGCATTAAATTTGAGTATTTCCAAAGACAGGAAGAGATTTTTTTGTCCGCAGTTTTTCTTTCTCTTTATTTTTTTTTACTCTGAGACGATTGCGTCTAACATCTGTGACACATGTAGAGAGAAAAGGGGTTAAGAGAATTGTGACATTAATGAATCTTTGCTTTCAGAGCCATGTCATTTACAGCTAAATTGCTCCCTCAGAGACCCCCAACTGCTCTCAATACAGCCTTCACTTTTGGTACAGAGAAAAAAAAAAGATATTCATAAACTCCAAGTACTCATTCTTGTTTATGGAAGAGTGTTTGAGAGTGTTAACTGTGCATTTGTGAGCATTTATTCTCAGACCAGCCAAGACCTAATTTTGATAGGAATTCATTTAAAGCACCTAATATTGAACAAGCGGATGCTTATAAATCCATCTGCCTGAAAACGTGACGATCTTACGTTGATTGGAATTCTTGAAGAGAGTGTTTGGTGGCAGGTGTGCTAGCCTTTTGAGGCTAACCCCTGTTGCCATGGTGACAAAATTGACAATTGGCGATGAAAAGCCCTTTCAAGATTCTGTGTGTTCTCAGGGTCTGGTAATTATAGAGTAAATTTAAGCCACTTACTGCAGTGGGACAGAAGAGTTTTTTTTTAATTTCTTGTTTTCCTATAGCGCTGGCAGCTCGTCTTTTGCTGGTGGGGCGGTGAACGGGAGGTGCTCAGAGACAGCCAGGGAAGGGGTCTGTGTTTTCACTCGGTGTGCGTGCGCTTGTGTGTGCTTGTGTGTGGTCATGGCTGGCACCTAAAAAAGGTTCAACCGCCGACCGGTGTTCAAAGGGAGCCGCCATCCTCTAAAGCCAAAGAAATCTGCGGTGCAGCCTTTCGTAAAGCATTAATAAGGCTTGGGAGCCCCGGCTCCTTAGCTAATATCTGACATCGGAACGTGAAAACGGCTTCTCTGCATGGCTCCGAGCCTTCAGCCTGTCAGTCACTCTCATCACATCCCAGTTTCTGGAACGCAGTGCCGGTAGCTGTGCCTGTGGAATGCCACGGAGCAGAGCCTGTGTTCAATCTTTAAATATTGATCCAAGACTGAGAGCAGACATGCCCCTCAGAGTACAAAAAAAGGATAATTAGTGACTTTAATTGGGTGATCTGTCAAGTTGGGAATGCCAGATATAAATGCACACTTGGTTCAATGACAGTCTGCTCACAAGCCCTTACGGTCACCTTGGGTCTCTTGGATCTGAGAACAGAGATTAAGAAAGACTGCACCTCCATCTGAACAACAAACTAAAAAAAATGTTGGTTTCTGTGTGGTTCTTGCTTTGATTTTCCAAAATAATTTTAAAGGTACAAGAAGAAGGAACATAATGGCAGTTTCACATTGGGATTGTGTTTGTCTGCTGCTGTGGTTCACCTGAGCTTACCCTAGAATTTCCCTGCTGTTCTGTGTGACCCAGTTTGAGCAAGTCTCTCCTCTGGCCAGTGAAATATATGTTGTAATTTTTGTATGCACAAGCAAATACTTTGGTGCAAAGAAATCTGTCTGACCTCTGTTGACATTTTTTCAACCTGATCATTGTGGCATTTTTCAATTGCTTCTTACCTTTGCTTCTGGCCTTACTTGTACAATGCTGATTCCTGCGATCACAAGTGCATAGATACAGCTTGTGAATGGTGTGTCACCATGTGTCAGAATCCACAGTCAAACCCACACAACAATTGCTACCGCTCAGGCTTTTGCGTCAGTCTGAGCAAGGGTGCGACTGCTTGGCGTGTATGGGTGTGTGCAGAAACAGCGGCAGCTCAGATGTGCCTGGGAAAGGTTAGCTAAAGATATTTATGAAAAATGAGTGCTAGCAAAGGATGTTCTGGCACAATGATGAAACACACTTGTTTTAAATAACAGGAAATAAAGGGAAAAACAGGTTTTCAGCATATGCATAAGAACGTGGCTTTAGCTCTATAAAGCATAATGATGGAAAAGCAGCTTGAAGGTCTTTCCACAGATACAACAAAAGGGTGACTGTATGCAGAGATACTGATTCATACAAATCTCTTCTCACAGCAGCGTTAAAATATCATTATATATTTATAACCACATACAGCACAAGAGGCAACAGACAACCAAAAGCTATGTTTTTGTTCCTTTTATATTGAAGCATGTGATTTCATTGCTTAAGCCTTGCCTTTCATCAGGTTCTGCTGCAGGAAACGGTCCTGCTTAAATGGACTTCCTGCTTTAGTGCTGTCTGGAATTGGCTCATTCAGCTAGCCTCAGTGGGTGTTTTTCTTTGCGGGGCTGATCCTGTCATATTTAACTATGTAGGGACAAGGAGTTGGGCTTGTCTTTGGAAAAGAAGATAAATGATGTGCTTCGGTCCCTTGATGTTTCAAAGACTGAGCGGAAATCTAATGTTTTCGCTCCTCTCCCTGTCTGTCGCTCTCCTCAGATCCAAGCGAGGGCTTCCACTGCCAGGAGGAGTGTCGCATCCTTGGGCACTCCGACCGCTGCTGGATGCCCAGGGTGCCCATTCCGGCCCGTGCCAAATCCCCGGAACACGGTCGCAACATCATTGCCCTGTCCATAGAGGCCCCGACGGTGGACGTCCCGCACTACGAAGACTGTGGCACCAAGAGGACTTTTGCCACTTTCGGCAAGGACGGCTCTGACCACGGTCAGGAGGGGGAGAGGGGTGAGATGAAGGTGAAAAGGACAACTGAGCTGCCCGTCTGCAGCCCCAAGGCCAACGGGGCCATCCGAGAGGCAGGCAACGGGCGGGAAGCCGTGAGCCCCATCACCTCCCCAGTGCACTTAAAGAGCCCCATCTGCGCCAAACCCCCCGCCTCCTACAACACGCTGCACTGCCGCGACGCCGAGAGGATCGCCAACCACAGCCTGCTGCGGCAGCCGGAGGGCAAGGACAGTGAGCCGGCGGTGCGAGAAATCAGCCAGCTCTTCCACGAGCACAGGGACAAGGACTCCCCCGGGGGGAAGCGCCTGAAGGACATCGTTCTCTAAAGGGGCTGCGGGGAAGCGGAGCGCGACAGGCTGCACACACTTGCATCGGAACACCTGGAAACACATCGACTGCGTATCTCAGGCAGGCGCGGTGGGGAAAGCGATCGACTCGGGAGAGGATACGTGGCGCTGGGTGTCTGGGAAAAGGGGGCAGTGGGGAATTTTTTCTTTTGCGTTTCCTTGTCGTTATTCACTGTCCAGGAGAGAGGGAACTGAAAGGCTACTGGTTACCGTGTAACGTGCCGAATCCCGGGACAGACAGCGGTGGAGATGGGACTCCTGTGAAGGCGGAATCATGCCTTTTGTGTTGAGTTTTTTATATTGCCTTTTTGGGGGGGGGGATGGTGGCTGCCAGACCATTCTACCATTTCAATCCCAAGAGACCATTTTTTTGGAAGGAAAGAATCTGCAACAGACAGATAATCCATTTCTATCATTTAAACTTTTTTTGTTGTTGCTTTTTTTCTGTTACCACTGGCTATTTCGCTTTTTTTAAAACAAGGAGAAAGACGGCTTTCTTGGCGAGTTCGTTTTCGTTTTGCCCAAAGTTTCAATTCATAAAACAACAAAAAATATTCCCCTCCACGTTTCACTGAAGACATTCCAGCTTCTCTCACAGACACAGAGATGTGAGTGGATTTATTTTTTTTTTCTCTGAAGAAGCTAAATAAACACTTATCAGATGATGTCCATGGATAGGATAGCTGGGAAATGGTAATTTCCTCAACAGGTCTCTCAAAGTAAACAGTGAAAAGACTGAAAAGACTCATTTCCCAAAAGTCACCAGTCCCCATTCACTGTTGTAGGTGGAAGAGATGGGGCACAGTTTAAGAGAACTGTGTGCTCCAGTCTCCCCGTCGTCTGGAATTCTGACTATGGGGCTAGGTTCTAAAAGGATCATCAATCACATGTCTTGCTGTATGTGAAGCTCTATATAGGGTTAATTTTTTTAAAAATAACCAGTTGTTATGTGACAATCCCTTTAATGTTTCCTTTAAAAAAACCTGAATAAATAAACATTGGTGTTCAACTGAAACTAAAGTAGCGTTTTGTTACACAAACACAGAAAAGGAAAAAATCGTATATGCCAAAATATATTTTATAAATAATTTAAAAATGTATTATGAGAAATTTAATGCTGTATAGTTATTTTATTAGTAAGTTATACTTGAATTAACAGACTTTTTTGTTTATTATGATGATCATAATTTTTTTTTTCCAAAACTGAACTTTATGTTTTACTATGTTACCCCTGGCAACTGTTAACTTGCAGTCTACCTTGTTGTAAAAGAGTTTCTTATTGGTCAGTTCTCGTGCCATCAAGTTTCTGTGAGCTGTGTGGGCTAATAGAAAAATATAAAAGAAAAATAACAAAAAAAAAACAATTTCAGCACCTACAGTAGTGTGTCAGTAAATATAAAAAAGAGCTTAGCGTGAGGTAGGAAACAAAACCAAAAACAGGATGTAGGAAAAGACTAAGGAGACTAGAGGGAATTGGTCAAACTTACTGAGCTGAAAGGAAAATGGCTTTGTGACCCAGAGAAGGGTGGTGTCACACATTTCTACACTGATCTGTTTCTGTGTATTTGATCTAAGGTTCAGTTCTGTGGTATTGATGCATAGCTTTAAGGTCCTCCTTGTGGTTAGTTTCTCTCCACAAGGTAGATAAGGTAGAAGAGGACCGGAAGAGCAACCAAGACTGCTCCTGTTGTACTGAGAACAGTGAGGATGTCTGAAGCTCTTCCAGCCTCTTGAAGCATGTCCATTGGCAAGGTCTTGGAATCGAGTGCACAGGGTGACGAAAAAGAAGCAAAATCATTGCCTGGATTCGTAGACTGGATGAACGTGCTTAAATCCGAAAGATAATCTGTACTTGTTTGTGGGTTTTCAGTTGCACTGGAACACACTGGACAGTGGAACAAGATGCATAACATACAATAGAACTTGTGGCTGAATGTTTGCAGGTCTCTCCAACAGCTTATGGCAACATGAAAATCGGAGTAATCACTGAATGTATACAGCAGCTTATTATTAAACTATTAAATGTTCTCCACTTAGCTTCCTTGTCTTTTTATGAATACGAGTGTTGGAATTCTTTAATGCACTGAAATTTAATTTATAAAGAAAAAATGTGCTTGTCTGCGTGTGTGTGTGAGAGAGGATGGTACCGATTTCTATGTGGCAACACCTGTGCAAATTCCAAATGAGTGTATTATAACTCTTTGTGGCCTATCATTAACATAAGAACATAAGAAATCGTACACTTGAGAGGAGGCCATGTGAACCATGTTACTCAATGGGTTCTAGTAGCTAATTGATCCAAGGATCTCATCCAGCTGCTTCTTGAAAGTTGAGCACTTGAATTACATACGCTCTTCCTTCAAAACCGAAAAGGTTCTGCAGCCTGTTAGAGTAGTACATTTCTTTTAGCCCTCCCCCAACACATAAATATATACACATATACAAAAGAATGGATTGAATTGAAATGGAATTAATGGCTCTGGTTCAGTTCTCATGCTGTGTGCTTTAAGCTCTAAATGAGCGAGATGGGCCAAAAGGCCGCCTCTCATTTTTAACCTCTCCTATATTTTTAACAAGTTAGAATTCAAGGCAGAGCCTGCAGCTTCTTTCGCATTAGAAGAGTTCTGTGACATCATGCTTTGATCTCCCAGTCGACTCATTCGATGAATTAAATGGAATATGTGTACTAGTGGAAGGGCTGCAGTAAATAAACCTGTAGCTGCTGAAAATGCCTTGATGGGAGATTTCTAGCCAAAGGGAGTCTACTTGAGATATGAAAAAACTCTTTACATTTTTAGCAGCAGTATAAACAAGCATCTTGAAACAGGTCGTGTTCTTCACCTCACAAATCTAATGCAATTGATATGCCACAGAAAATCAGAAAAAGGTTTGGGGTCTTCTGATGAGGGCTCTTGAGCCTGTTGCTATTACCTTGGTGCCAGTGTGAATTCAGTAATTGAAGGCACCCGTTCAACTTTTCAGATCTATATTTTTTATATTTTGAGCAGATTTTTTATTTTTGAATGCATCTAGCTCAGTGAGACCACATAAAAGCTGCAGCTATTGATTTAAAAAGGTTAATCATACCTTATAGCCATTCCATCCCCGAATCAGACATGAAAATGAAAACAAAATCACATGATTCAGAGCTGCTAAGTGTTTGGTCTGTATTTTGTTATGTTAATGTAAGCTACATACAACATTCCTACCTTATAAACAGTTTCCCTTGAAAGAAGACGCAGGAGGAAGCTTGTTATTCCAAACAGGCAGAAAAAGTGCTGAGAATCTCCACTTCACTGCTTCCATAGGGATACAGTACATATGTCTTCAAGAGAGGAACATTATATTGGAGAAACACACATCTCAAAGGAGCTGGCAAATGATAAACAGATAACACTGTTCATTACTTTCATGTTTATAACCTTTGTGGTCCTTTTGTGAAGACACAAGTCTGTACACTGAAACTCTCCTTTTATTGTATTTGAAGAACCTGAAGCACATCATCCTAGGCACTGTGAGTCAATTTGGATATTCACAAACCCATGAATCGGATCACTGCCAAATGCTAGTTAAGTATGCCAAAATGACTTATTGTTATTGACTCGCTAATTGTACTGTTAACAATTAAACCTTTGAAATCCATTTGTAAATGTTAACTGTGATTGGTGTAAGTAGAATGACGCAGAAATCAATAATAATCTAATTTATGTTGATGGAAACAAATATTTTCTAAACCATCTTATCCCCTTAAAATAAAATATTTCCAATCTCAATTTCAATGTCTTTTGGGGATTTGTTGTCCTGTATTTTCATACTCCAGAAACATGTTTGTTTCCATTACTCCAAACAATGTCTATTTTGTTGCTCATATTTATTATATATTCTTACTACTTGGATGTATGTATGAGGGGTCTTTGGAACACTTTGTGAAGAAAATGTCTTGTGTCTTCTGCAACCTGAGAAAGAGAATAGAGAACAAAAATGTGCACTATTATATTCATCATACAGCAGAATTGTTTTATTTTGCCCTTTGCATCTGGTCACTCTTCAAATTAAAGCAGTTACCTGTACCTCTGACAGTACACCAGGCTATTTTTTACCAACACCAATTTCACACAGCCTTTACAGTGACCACCTGCAAAACAACATGGAGGTTAAATCAATACAGCTCCAATTTAAGACAATAGACAGACACCAGGTATTAGATTCTCAACCCCTCTTCAAACGCCTAACCCAAACTCTTTTATCGTTGATGAGTTTGAATTCACAAATTTTGGATTTTGGAACTTTGCATTGTTACGTACATTATATACAAATATTTTAAAAACCTACCCCTTTAAAAAATACTGAATGACCTATCCTTCCATTGCTAAATCCATTATTCCTCTTGAATTAAAATGTGCATTTGATCATTTCAGGCTTTAGGCCCTGCTAATATGATAGGCTTTGCTCCTTGACGTTTCCCAGTGGCACTTTAGGGCAGACAATTAAAATCAGCAGGACGAACATTTTAAAAAACGTTTAAAAAAACAACCACAACCTCCAACCATCCTCCAACCGGCTATTTTTAAGGCATCCTATTCGTGTCCATCCAAAATAGTGATTGAACTTTTAATTTTTTTTTATTTCTTGAATTGCAAAACTGTTGTCTTCTGTGCATGCAAATGAGCTCCAGGCTGGATTAAGAGAGGAGTTCCAAACGGGCTCCTCTTTGAATCTGCAGCCAGATCTCAGCTGGAAGAGACTGGAGGAGGGAGGATGAACCGCTGAAGAACTGTAGCTTGGCAGTCAAAGCACAACCCAGTGTAAGAACATTAATAGGCTGGGTTCAAATATAACCATTTCTAAAACCTTTGCAGATTACCAACTAATTAGCACCATTTCACAGTTTTTCACTGAACGTTTTGAGTTGTGCGGTCAGATTTTGAAATGCAGCTGCTGATTGGTTTCAGCAGAAGGTGCTTGGTGATGTTTTGTGGAAGAATGTGGGAGCACAATACACTTCCTGCTGCACTGTGACACAAACCACAGGAAATTAACCACTCTTCATGCCAAACTAGTGAACACTCTGTAGGGATGTCTGTAGCCGTGGGGGGACATTCCAAAAGCCATTGTAACTGGGGGAGCTGGTGGGAGTAGCAGCAGGAATGTGAGTCATGTGAGGGAAGCACAGAGCAGTGGTTACAGGCCTGGCCTCGGGGCTGGAGGGCTTAGAGTTCAAATCCCTGATCAGACATTACCTATCGTTCTCGTGAGCACGATGCTTCACTCAGATCGGTCCAGCTCTGCTGTATATGGGAGGGTTCTGATTGTCTCTTTTTCTGGTGCTGTGTTTCATATTTCATATGTACGGTAGTATGGTAAACTGTGGTGATCTTCTTTAAAAACAGATTTCACAGTATTGAAAAAACAGATGCCAACAATCCAGATCAAAGTAGTACGGAACTGTAGTAAAAATGTAAGAATTTTTATTCAGTACCTTTAAACAGTAATCAGGAGCTGGAGGAACCAGAGGAGACCCAGTGGTCCCGTGTGTTTTGGAACAGGCCTTATGGTGATCCACATTGTGCAGTCAGCAACAGACCCATAACTTTACAGTGGTCAGTATTAGCCTTCTCTTTAGGATCTGATAGTACTGTACTACTCTGCATATACAATGCCTATACTGTATATACAGAGATACATACCTAGTCTGACATGTAAAGACACAAGTGATACAGTCATCATGTCAAACCAGGATTGTTCTGTAGAAAAACAAGAAAAGGAGGAAAACGACAGCATGGAGCATTGAACTCTCTAAGAGCCCTGTTCTATGGAGAGCCCACAAACACATCACAGTGACAGATGCATCAGACGGGCTGGTTATCTATCTCACAGCAGAATGTGTCTTTCCATGCTCTCATTTTTAAATGCCTGGAAGCGAAACATCCAATTAACTACCTTGCTTTACAGTTAACACAATGCCCCTTGCAAAGGTCAGCAGATAATCTCCCTTTTAAAAGAACTCTCCTAGCATGGGTATATTGCTTGAGTCTGCAGGCTACTCTGATTGGATTGTTTTACTAGTGGAGATAAAAAGATTACTAAATATCTTATACTTCGCTCTCACCTAAAGGATTACCTTAATACCCTGCTGTTAATGTTTCTAATTTGTGTGGCTAGACTAAGAAAGAATATTGCTCCACAGCTGAAGTTGTCAAACATTAGAACAACTATTTTGCCTTTATTTAGTATATTGCTATTTAAATTGTATATGTATACTGCCTTGATTGCATTATTTTATATTCCAAAAATATGTTTCCTGTGAATACCTTAAAATATTTTAATTTAAATTTTATAGCACAGTCATACATGTTTTATGATCAATACCTTGTAAATAAGACACTTGTGAAGGTCCTTCGATCAGAGCCTTGGGGGACCTTCCTTGAGGTCAGTTCTAAGATGTCATATTAAAGAGGCCTCATGGCCCTCACTGGTCAGTATAGTCCGTGCTGGAGGACACTGGTCCTGGCCCTTATAACTCTCTCAGAATAAAGAGACTAATACAAGAGCAAATAATTAAAACATTAATCTTTTCTATTGTGTTTTTGGTGGCTCTATAATCTGCCCAGACAAGACAATGACTAAGTCTTGCTAAACTAACAGACATCAATTATTGGAAAGCTGATTAGCTGGCCTGATTAGTCTAACTAATCATCTCTTCCTCCCTCATCCAAATTTCCAAAAGTTTTCCTTTATCAATGGATTGCGAAAACCTTTATGTTCAGCCAGATGTGTTTAATTCTACCAATAAATGTGAAATTACTTTTCTTCCTAAGATTGTACTTAGGATTGTCTTAGCCTAATCCTGGTATATCCAACCCAAGTCCTTTTTCTTTTGTTGGTGTAAGCTTTTTACACATGTTAGACTGATGGCTAGAAAAATGACCAGCAGTGCTTATTCCTGTATTACAGTAATTCAAAGAGATGGAATCTGGTCTGCTATGTGATCACAAATGTGCAAAGAATAGCTAGAATTACAGGAGCATGTCACGTCAAATGTCAGTTCGTACAGCTACTCAAGCAATGCAGGAGCAGAGGGAGAAAAATACTTGGCAGCACTTTATCTAGAGGTTTTATATACAGGTATGCAACGAAATGCTACTATGTATTTTAGTTATTGAATAGCCGGGTTGTCTACCCGTTATCCGCAGGTGACTTGCAGTCTAGTTTAATGCATTGTACTTTACACATTCTGGTTAAAATAACTAATTAACACCCCAATTTCTTATTCATCAGTAAGGAGACAGCACAGGCCTATAAAGACAATACTAGCCATTTTTACACTACATTCATCACCCTTTCTATATTTTGGAGTTAAGTATAGCTTATTTTTCTTTGTTCTGATCTTATTATTTCTGGTAGAGAATAATACTTCCAGTGATCTTCTTAGATATGTACTTCATGTTAAATAAAAATAAAATGCACAAGAAATGCATTACACTTCTTTAAGCGCACATCTCAGAGGTGAAATTGCTTCTTTTTATTGCTTTTTTACTGTAAACGTTGTGGAGTTTGTCAGGGGCTGAGAGCAAAACTATTTTCTTTACACTCAACAATATTGCAAACCAGGAGTGGAGTGAATAGAAGTCCTTATTTATCTGTAGACGTAACTTAAAGACACAGCTAAAATTGGATGTCTCACTGACAGTTTGACTTGGACATACAGTATGCAGTGCACATGGGAGGTCAAGAACATCCAGATAGCAATGTGGTTCAAATCTGATATACAGTATACAAGAATACGAGGAAGAGAAAATAATATTTGTTTTGAGTTCTGTTGGCCTACAACACATCTGCAATTTAATCCACACCCCTTAGGGACAGGGTTAAGTAATTGTACAATCCATGCTGTTGTTATGCCACAGTTTCACCAATATGAAACCTATCCAAACACCTTGCATGTGGAGTTCCTGAGAAAAGCTGCCCATCTGGAGAGAACGGTGAGATTTGTTCCAGACATTGCTGTTTTCAGTCTGGGCTACTTAATTAATTAATAATAATTGCTTACACTTATATAGTGCTTTTCTGGACACTCCACTCTTTACAGAGATAGGTGACTCCCCTCCACCACCACCAATGTGCAGCATCCACCTGGATGATGCGACGACAGCCATGGTGCTGCCAGAATGCTCACCACACATCAGCTATCAGTGGGGAGGAGAGCAGAGTAATGAAGCCAATGCATTGAGGGGGATTATTAGGATTGGTAAGGGCCAATGGGAAATTTGGCCAGGACGCCGGGGTTACACCCCTACACTTTTCAAAAAAACATCCTGGGATTTTTAATGACCACAGAGAGTCAGGACCTCGGTTTTATATTGCATCCAAAGGATGGCACCTGTTTACAGTATAGGGTCCCCGTCACTATACTGGGGCATTAGGACCCACATGGACCACAGGGTGAGCACCCCCTCTTGGCCCCACTAACACCTCTTCCAGCAGCAACCTTAGTTTTTCCCAGGAGGTCTCCCATCCAGGTATTGACCAGGCTCACACCTGCTGAGCTTCAGTGGGTTGCCAGTTGTGAGTTGCAGAGTGATATGGCTGCTGGCTATATAATTAGCCAGCAAGGACTGGGAGTCCTGACACGGGAGTGCTCGATTGGCCAGGTACTGCTGGGGTTGGCTAGGGCGTCTGTCACAAGTACTTCTGCAACTGATGTCGGGGAGAGCAGAACAAGAAGCTTCTAGCTTTGACCAAAAGGAGCATAACCCCTCGGCAACGACTGGAACAAAGCTGATGTCAGACATTTGCAAATGCCAGAATGGAGCAATCGTTACTGATACATGGAAGCTGATGAAGGTTTGGGTACCACAGATACAATTAAATATGTTTTTGTTTCCTAATTAATTTTCTGTTACTATCCTTTGTTACATTAGCACAGCTTTTAAGTTGGTTGTAGCTCAGATTTTGTTGTTTGTCCATTAGCAAATGGGTTCTAAGTGGAAAGTGAAGTTGGTACATTTGCACAACCACTGATTAATAGGATTAAAAACGGCAAATTACTAACAAGAACTCTTTACTCTGCGACTAGAAACAAATGGCCCTTAGCTACAGAAAAATTCACAGGAAATGTTGCTGAATCACTGAAATTTAAAGAAAGCATGTTTCACATTTCACTTTGCCTGAGAATACATCTACTGTACATGTGGATTACATAAAAACAGGAAAATCAACACACACACAATCTGTTCAAGATAAAGACAGGCCAAGTGTTTACCTTCTCAGAATATATTCTATAGTTACAGGAACAAGATATAGTGAGGAATGTTTTCTCCTATTTAAGAGATACTTCATAGATTAATTGTTCAACGGCATGATGTGAAGGAACACAAAACCTAAGAGCAGAGGATGCAGTCGAGCACTTGCTGGAGCCCTGTGTTTACGATGGTAAGTGATCCAATCACTAATCAAAACCCCAATCAAGCAGTCACTATAGCTGGCTCTCATCCAGGTAGTCACAGCTTCCAGCCAATTAAAATCATGACAGAAGGAATGCAGGTGCAAACTGCAGAGCAATTTTTCCTTCTCAACATCAATTGCATGTGTTGAAAAAACATTATTTTGAAAAAATATATTTTCTGTACTGCTGTTCTGAATCCTCCACTGAAATGTTGTGCTGGTCAAATGGAGACTACTTCTGAACAGCTGCTCTGCCTGGACTGCTCATTGGTTAATGAGAAACCACAGTATGAACCAGGACTGTTTTCCTGTTGAAGAAAGCACATTAATTCTGCCATGTTCCCACATGCATGCACTGCAGAAGATAGAGAGGGCAAAACAAGATTAATTTCATGTACTCATCCGTCCAGCTGTATGGAAAACTGTTGTAGTGTGCTGTGAAACAGTGCAAAAAGTATTTTTTAGTATATCATGAAAGCAAAATGAGTTTTATTTATGCTTTTAAATCACATGATTAATGCTTATTTTCATTTTGACAGTATTGCAGGGATTTACGTATTTGTTTATACTGTATATAAGTAGTAACAGGATCAGTGCTTAGAGCCCTACAGTTCTTTTACTGCTATGGTCTGCCAACAATTTTAGACATCACTGCTAACATTATTAGTGCTATACTTCAGATTGCTTACCATCCATAAGTGTCCATTAACACCATCTGAAATACAGTATCAGATATGTACAGCAAATTATTTATATTTAATTTTTCGTCCTTTACATTATCCTCAATTAGAAAGTCAGAACTGTGAGCCTGCTTTTGTTTTTCTTTCTATATCGATCTGGCAGAATAAGTACAGGATTCAATACACATTTTTAGAATATATGTAAATGTAACAAAATATTTAAAAGGTGAATGAATTTGACCAATTCATGGCTGTTAGGCATCTGCAGAAAATCTTTGTTAAACAGCTTGGTGTTTTTAACTAGCTATAATTTTTTATTGTGTTTTTTGTTGTCTTTCTTTTTTCAGATTTTAATTAATTTTTTTTAAAAAAAAGCTTGCATTTACCAAGAGATTTACAGACAGGTGTACACAGCTTTTGCTGAAGCAGGTGTCGTAAATTGATTTTTTTTCTTCGCATCTTTGCAGAAGATTGCTGGAAACAGATCTCTCAACCACAAGAACACAAAGAAATGAAAAAAGAAAACAAGAAAAGGGCCTAAACTGAATTTAAAGAAATCATGCCAAACCAAAATGATTGTCCTGGATATGATTGGACTTTTTTTTTACATATTCTGCATTTGTGGAGGTTTAATTACTCTGGTGCCAGCTACAGCACAGACGAAGCCATCTTTGGCTCGATTCCTAGAAGATTATCACAGGCACACATCTACATTTTTTCAAGGTGTGAATGAGGGATGCTATTTCTCTGATTTGGCCAGATATAGCAGAAAAAGAACAACTATTGCAAACAAAGATATTTTTTGTTATATGAAAACAGAATCTACTTTAACATGCACAGTTTTAGAAGGAGGTCATATTCAGGTAGCTTTGATAGAGATTAAATACATCTACTTTCTCCAATATTAATTTGGTAAAAGTATGGTGAAACTAATTTAAACTGACTTTTATTTTTTAAATGTTGACCATGTGTATTATAATAGAACTCAATTAACAAATCTCAGCAGACAGAGTTTTGCAAAACCTGAAGTCTAGAGCATTGTCATCGATTGAATACATTTTTATAGTGCACTCCAGGATTCCCAACCAGCCATGCCTAACCCTTATCTCAAAAAGAAGCTGATCTGAATGTAATGAGGGTGCTGTACAAAAATCAAATATCATGCAAATCAAACCTTTTTCAAAGCATTTTACAAGCCTCACTGTGCTTACAGAGTACCACCAACATGCACACAGATAAGAGGGCGATCATATGTGTCACATTAGAAGGAAAAAGCAAACCTGGCACTTCTGTTTGTCAATCTACCCAGATCTCATTTGTAACTGATGTTGCCCCCCTACAGCTCCTGTCTTATGAGCATGAGAAACTTCTACTTTAGTGTCTCTGAGCCAGACCTGAGAGACGGAAACTACACCCCAGGTTGTGATATTCATTTGCTTCCTAAATACATAATTAATCTTTTAAAAAAAACTTGGATGCCATTTTTATTGGACAGATGTTTAGAGCACAATAAATGGGTCAGGTTGAAAACATCAGCTTTAATTGTGTAAGCTGTTAATGCCAAGTGTAAATGGTGCTATTGTAGAAAGTATTCTGCCTGCAAAACAGACCTGAAGGACCTATTGAGCAGCAGGGAAGGTCTCTATGAAGATGTAAGTACCACAGATCAAAGGAAGAGGTAAGAGATACCAAAGGGAAACATTAAAAAACATTTATAAAGTATACAGCCATTTCAGCATTCATACACACCTCCCAATACATACACATACAAGCTAAACTGTATACATACACGTGGTGTCTATGTCACTTGACTTTGTACACACTAAGCATTGAAAGTACAGCCTTTGTCATCAACACTGGCACTTGCTGGAAGCAAACAGAATATGTCCCCCCTGGTCTTGCATCTGTTCATGTTGCCAGTTGTACACAGACATTACCAGGATAGACAAGAAACACTGCTGGATGAAATCAGTGACATTCAATTTCCAAGAACGCAGTGAACTGGCTCCCACAATGCTGCTGCTCAAATTTGCAAAATCAGCGGGTTTGATGCACAGTATGGTTCTGAGGCTGAAATAGAAAGACAAAACAGGAGATCGCAAGTGATGCACAGCATACTCAGTAAACTTCATACTGTATATTAAATTCAATGATTCATTTGCTTTGGCTGCCATATTGCAATATTAATGGTGGTACCGGATTTGTCTTTGTCAGACATGAGACTCCATTCCCTCATATCACTCAAAGCAGTGCTTTTAGTTTTGGGAGCTTCTCATGACTTGCACCCTTCCTGGATCACCAGGTTGAAGCTGGCTGATTCGACTAGCCTGGTGTCCTCAGAGGCAGGCAGGATACCCTGATGCATTGTTTCATGTTTTTTTAAAGTAAGATATTTACTTACTTAAGATACAAATATTTAGGCATAGTCAAATTCAATGAGAGATCTGGACACACCGAACCACCTTAAAGCAAAGTGTTGCAGGGCATTTCAGATCCAAGACTTCAGATAATTTGGCTAAAATTAAACTCTACATCACATTTTTGGCTGTTCTGTTTTTTGCATGCAGGGATCTAAAGTGCCACACAGCAATGTAAAGCTCTGTAACACACACTAGTAGAATCTTATTAAAGTGTGGCGAAAGCCTGGCTAAAGCAAAGACTGGACATGATCTAAAAACATCTTTCATCCAATTGTTCCCCACGTGTGGCTTCGGTGTATTTATTTCTCTTTCAATTGGCCACAACGTGCCTAAAACTAATGAAAAGCAAGATTAGTCCAAAAGCAGAGCCTGAGCTCCTACAGAAAGGCCCGCTAGTCTGTCAAGCAGCTGAGGGGAAAGATTACAAAGAGTGCGACAGTCTGTCTCTCCAGAAGAGGCAGTGGCTCCAGGGCTAGGTGAAGCCTGCCATTCCCAGCATCCTTGTAATGTGAGTGCGCAGCCTGTGCCACAGCCTGCAGTCTCCCTTGTCCCCCGCGGGCAGCAGAAATCTGAATTTAACAGGAATGCAGCTGATGAACCTGAATTTCAATTCAAAAGCCAACCTGCTTCCTAATGGAACAGCATGCTGCTATTAGGGGGACTGTCCTTAAGGGATTTCATAAAATAATACTACACTGCTGCAATTTAAATAGAAAAAAAACAGAAATATTCATAGCAAAGGGGGCAGTGAAAAACTCAGGCTGGGGAAAAAGCCTCCCTTTACGTTTCTTTCTTTTATGAGTACAAAGGAGGAGAAGACCTGTGGAGGGTGGGTAGAATACAGAGAGAGGGGGATACTTTGTAAGAAGCCTGTCCACACAGTACGTGCGATCTCACATAGGTGAGCTAGTTACTCGCAGCCAGCAACTTAAGGAAGGAAAGAGACTCAGTAGCAGGAGATGATCTATAGTACACAGAGTATATCTTCAGATGAGGAGAGAAAAGTAAGTAACTTGAGCTGAAATCAATTCCTCATCCACAAAACATACAATAATAAACTGTTTTCCATTTCTTAAAATCATGGCAAACACAAGTGACACATTTCCACCAGAAGGCCTTCTTCAGTTTCCTAATGAAAAGTAGAACACTTGCTTTTCCATGTGATCATAAGACTTAAAAGTTAAAGTACTATGTGAATACAGACAAAACTGTATAGTATTAAACAAAAGAGAGTCACCTTGCAATCAATATAACTCCAAATTTATATTTAAGTACATAAATTTAATTTTTCACTAAGTCCAAGTGCTTCCATGATTTGCAAGGTAAGTAGCCCATAAGCTTCCAGTAGTAGTCAAGCCAGCAGCCTATAAGCTGTAATAAGAGATGTTAAAAGAGATGGACTACATTACCATCATTGAGCTTTTCAATATATGGAGTTTATAACAAAAGTTCAGGAGGGATGACAACAACCAATCTCAGTCAGACTCAGCTGCCAGTAATTAGCAATTGCTCCTGGCAATCCATTCCTCTCCCAAACGCTATAAATACCAACGAGATCCCCATCTCTCTCTCTTGCACGTCTCTTGCATCGCCCCTTGGTCGCTCTGCATTGGGATCCTGGTCTCTTTGTCCTATGTCCGGGAGGCCAGCCCTCAGCCAAGTGGGTTAAGCCACAATTTCGCTCCATGATATTTTCATCTTGGGTGTTTGTCATTCCTCATGAAACTCAGAATATACTGATCCATTTCCATCTCTACTGTTGTGTTGAGTGTTAAGAATATCTATGTCCAATTACAGTACATCTATCAAGCGCTATAAGATTATTCCTCATAAGGAACTAATAGATAGTTGAATAAATAGAATTCTGGTCTATGCAGACCTGTTTTTGCACTTTTCCTCCATGCAATATTATCCCACCTCTGTCTTCACTGATGCAAATATCACAGAAAATGAAAATGTCAAGATTATTTTTATCTAAATATTAGTGAAGAAAAAAGAACAGAAACATGACTGTCATTTCGCAATATATATTTTTTTGTAATATAGATCTAAGCTTAAAGCACTCTTCAATACAAACAATTTTACCTCTTGAACATACTGTTGAATACATCCTGTCAATCCACTCCACTTAGATCTGTTTGCATTCCCATTTTTGAGTTTTTTATGTTTGGCTGCAGAATCAAACCTGATCTTTGCTGTGAAAACTTCATGAACAGAATAGATTATTATATAAACAAAAAGCTAAAGAAGATGTAGTGAAGATTATTTAATTATAATTATTAGATGAAGCAAACGGATCACCCTTAAAGATCACTCAGAGCCTCTGCAGAAGTCCCCTGTTACAGACCTCCCGGTGGGCATTTTGATAATCCTAACATTTCTTTTTAGTTTATATTTGCAGGGCCATGGGAATCGCAAAAGCTGCTCTAAACCATTTTTAGGAGGGACAACGTATGGTGACACAACCATGGGAACTATTTTGACTAAATTAATATAAGTATAACACTCACACAATGATTTTAGTAAGCTCATTTAACTAATTGGGTTGTAAAACCATGCATCTATTTTTCAGTAGTCAAGATTAAAACATCTCGGAGCAGATGAACCAGCAATAAAGGCTGAGGATTGAGGATTCAGATTCAGCATAACAACAGGCTTCATAACATTAGCATTGGGTTAAAGAACAAAGGCAATCAAATATTTAAACTCACACCAGAGTATTTTCAACTAAGAAAACCTGTCAGTTTTAAGGCAGTATGCTACTGGAAATGACATAATGTAGAAAGATAATGATTTCCACAAAAAAAATCAGCACTCATTGATAGCGTTCCTTCTAGATTCAGAACCGAAAGGAATAAAAGATCAGACAGTCCTAAAGTATATGTATTCTCTGTTAAGGCTGACTTGAAATAACTTGGGGAAGCAGTGAGTACACAGCTGTATAATAAAAATGAGCCCTGTTATTGATGTCTAGTCTCCATTGAAACATAAAAGAATTCATACATGTACCCCGAAGAGAGAGTCAGGAGCTGCATTGGGATCAACTTTCACTTTATAATATCCCGAACTTTATTCAGGAACAAGAACTTTGCTGAAGCTAATTAATGCTGTTATTAAGCAGGAGGACTAATAGCAGCATTTGTTGTGATAACGGATCCTCTTTGTAGAGTGCCAGATTAGTTATAGATGACAGAAAAATCATCAGACATATCTGAACATTTTTATTTCCATTTTATGAATCCAAAAGCAGCATGAGGGGCTCTTTGGCAATGCATGTGGAAGACTGTTCCAGTCCGGAATGGTTAAATAATGCAGCTCATCTTTTGATAAGGACAAGGAGGGTGGGGAGGTGCACACTATCACACAGCTCCAGCAGCCTTCAGGCCTTGCTTTCAAGGCACAGAAACAGTCAATTAGTGACTACATCCCTGGCACCTAATTACAATCCTCAGCCCTTCTTGAGAGGAAATTCAAGGTCAGAGAACCTCCTATCTGTCTCTCATCAGCTGGGTGATGTGCGCATCTCATCCCCTTGTTTGTGACAAAAGACGAACACGTTTTTCATCTTCATTGAACCTCACAGATGAGATGCTCAAGTAGTGATCTGGTACTTAACACCCTAATTTTATCAACCGGAAGTCAATGCAGTTCACTGCAGGTCAGGGGATTACTAATTGCAGCTTTGCCCACAAAGTAATAGTGCTACAAGCCTCCTATGATTTCAGCCTTCAAAAAGCTCCCAATTTAACTCAAGTGATGCCCACATTTATTAGCCTGACAGCTGGCTGAGGTGAATCAACTCCACAGCTTTTATCCGCCACCAAAGATAGACACAAGCAAAGGGAAAGGGTAGCATTCCTGAGGTTGCCATGGCAATCAAACTCCCTTTTATTTAAAGCCTGTGCATTGGAAAATTGCTTGGACTGTCTAGGTGAGCAATGCCCTCATGTCTTCATGGTTACCTCACACAATCACAGCAAGGTAGGCCGCTGTACCCTTGCCATTAGAGTCCATGATATAAAACAAGCAGCAGTACAAAAAGCAAATTTGACCAGAGGCAATAAGCATCTTCTGAGAGTAATTGCGAGTGAAGACTCTGTTTTAAGACAGAAATGTCTGTGTATAAATATTGACCTGTCAATACATTTCTGCATAAACACAGGTACATGAGAAATGGAAATAGAGATTCAAAATCCTGTCATGTGAAATGTACATGAACCTGTAATGAGGTTCAGGGTAAATAATTTACTTTGAGACCATATACTGTATGTAGCTAAGGGTCAGAGATGATATGAGGTCTCAGGAGGATAATCTGTTGAGAATTGTGTGAACACTCCTTGAACGCTTGGCAAATGCTCATGGGTGTCCTGCATGGCCCTTGAGCACAGACACACTGTGCTGTGAGGAGGACTGTGGACCCTGGAGAGCAGCTGTAAGTAGAGCTGACCTGCTGGCCATGGATCACAGCAGCACACCCCTCTCCTCATCCCATACACACTGGCCACGCTGGACCCCAGTAAGACTGCCCCACAGCTTCCCAGGAACGGATTACCAGCCCCTCTACTAGGAAGAACGATCTTATGTGCATTATAGAAGGGAAAGAACATTACCACCATGGGCTGAACTGCACCTTTTCTGAAGGTTAACGTT